ACACGAGTTTATTTTACAGGGGAAACACCTCCTTAGTTTGTTTTCCTATATCCTCATGAAAGATAATAGGATTCTCTTTTTTAAACTGAGTCTAATAAACTGCAAAGACCCTAAGAAACTACTATATGGTTTTAATGAATTGGTACTTAGTCATCTGCAATGCTCTTTTAAAATGGAGTTTACCATATCCACTTTGAAAGGTAATGAGTATTTCCTTTTTTTGTTCAAGTTTAATTAAAATAATTACCTATAATTATATATAGAGTCCCATTTTGGTCAGTGAACTATTTCAGCATGGAACTGCAGGTTTATTCTCATTAGTGAGAATGGTGGGCAATACAATCAGATACTCCAAATAAATGCCAGGCTTCTATTCATTCAGATTATTTTAAATGTTTTTTAGACATAATAAATCCAGGTGTTCCAAGTTGATAAGATTTCACTTCTGAGAGTAAATAATTTGATTGCTTCCTATCTTTGAAATAATAATACATCTGTTCATTGACATCCACAATGAATAACCCTCCCCACATCCAGCAAACATAAAAACTGTTAAGTTGTGAAGATGATAGTGAAATGCCAGGTTTGTGAAAAAGGCCAGATGGATTTCATTGGAGCATAACTTGAAGTATGCCCTGAAGTCAGTTTTTATTGGAGCTGTTAAAACGTAATCACTTTAAAGAACTTAAAGTATAGATGTAAAATGCTTTGACTAATTTCACAATACAAAGAACAGCATAATAGAATGTGCTGGTGGTGAAAGCAACCCATCTCAGTAAAGTTAATTTAATATTTTGAAAATGGAGTATTATTCAGTCTTTCAAGGACAAAAGGTGTTTGCAGCACACTTCTATATCACTGCTCAATGGAAATTATTTTTAGGTAAATGTCAACAGAATTACAATCATAACGATGATGATGAAGAACACAATAATAATAACAACAATATACCTCATCTCATAGCTCGAGGTGGGGTACAGCATAATTAAAGCACACAGAGAAAACACAATACCATTAAAATACTTACATTAAAATATATAGGACAAATATTAAAACACCAGTACTAATATAATGCAAAGTTAAAATTCATTATTTAATATTGACTGGGTAGAGAGATCATGATGATGTGGCTTGGTGTATTAAGTAGAATTCTTTCTACCAGGGAACTTGTTGGTACATGTAGAGTTCCCAGCTTTGGTTTTGAAACCTGCATTAACAAACCATTAAATTCCCAAGATGATTGATTTCTTTTTTTTTCTTTTTATAAATGTCCTGAAAGGAGATCTGCTTTTATCTATGCATACCTTGGTCCTAACTGTTTTGTGTGGTAGACCTCCTGCATCTAGTAACATATATGCATGTACTAGTAAAGTAAAGGTAAAAGTGCTGTTGAACTTGCTGACCAAAAGGTTGGCGGTTCAAATCCAGGGAGCAGGGTGAGCTCCTGCTCTTAGCCTCAGCTTCTGCCAATCTAGCAGTTAAAAAACATGCACATGTGAGTAGATTGATAGGTACCACTCTGGCTGGAAGGTAATAGCGACCCATGCTGTCATGCTGGCCACATGACCTGGAAGGTGTCTACAGACAATGCCAGGTCTTTGGCTTAGAAATGGAGATGAGCACCATCCCTCAGAGTTGGACATAGCTAAATTTATTGTCAGGGGAAACCTTTACCTTTACCTTATATTTATGTACAACAGGCATTGCTTGGCACAGTGCTGTGTATTTGTCTTTTTTGTTTCAATAATAGTTCAAGAAATGTAAGAATTGGCTCCATACATAATTATAAATAGAGGAACTCCATTGAAGTTAAGGGGACAAGCTATCCATGGCTAGAGTAAAATACATTAATCTCAGAGGGCCTGCTCTCAGCATTATATAGGGTAGGTAGAATGAGTCCAGGCCAGTGGCATTTCAATAATCCCTCTAGATTTTGCAGATCCCAATGTCTCTAGGCTGTACAGGCAACTGGAAGGAATGTTGTGAGTTGTATTCCGATGACATCATGCAGAACTATGTGCTCCCCTCCACCAACTTAAATCTGTATGTCTTATGGGGGTATCATAATGTTAAATATCAACACATTTCAGATAAATCCAATCACCTGACATTTCTCTCTTTTTTAGAATGCAGTGCTTTTTAAAATCCATGTTTTTAGGTACAGCTCTTCTATTATATAAAAAAACTCCAAACATTTTAGATGATATTAGGCCCTTCCTACCTCTGACCAACAAATGTGCTCAACAAATAAAACATTCATTTTCATTGTTGCTGAAGTACCTTCAGAATGAAAAAGAAACCCTATTTCTTCTGTCTGAATATAATGAAATATGCTCATAAAATCTAAAACAGGGTTTTAAAGCAACACTATCATGCACCCTATACAAGGTTTCATATTAATGCTCTGTGACTTAAAATGGTGGACTGTACCTGAAATCTTTTATTCTGAAAATTAGTTTGATTGTAATAGAGCTGTGCTGACTGCAATACTGGTTATTGCTTTCCATGAGAAGCTCTCTCCAACATATTGTACTCCATATTGCATTGTAATACTAAAACCATTTCAATGCAGTTTAAAATTTAAGGCAATCAACAGACTTGGTTACATTTTACTATTTATATCTCTGTTCAGCCTTGTCCTTCAAGTTGTTGACTTAGACATCTGTGGTTTGAGCTCTTACAAGTTTCCAACTGAGGGCTTTTGGCTTGACTTTATGGAGAGGGGCCCCTAAAACAATGGATGTATGGTGAATTTTCTATGGTGAATTTGTGTTCCTGTGCTCAGTGGAAGACAAGTAAGAAGGTTCAGCATCTCTCCCCTTGAGGTTTTCAAGCTGACATACTCATTAAGTAATTGCAGTACGTTTATTTTAGTAACTCAGAGAAATCCTTTACTGATTAGATGAAATCTCCACTTAGAAATATGCTCAAAGTTTTCTTGTTGTTACATGTTGTCAAGTTGGCTTTGGCCTATGGTGATCCTATGAATGAAAAATCTCCGTGAGATTGTGCTCATATCTTACGAACCTAGTGCACTGGTTTACTTGAATGAGTCAATCCACCAATCAGTCTTGTCCTTCTGTCTTTGACTTGCACAAAGGTACATCATGCAATACCTTACTTTATTAGCTCCAATGACGCAGAAACAGCTGCTGTCAAAATAAGACAAGAGAGAAGTCTGGTTATGGAACACATTGGCTTGCAGGGAGTGTCTATTAATCACCATTTTCAGGATGCTGAAGCAATTGTTACTGTACAGATCCATTCTGTATTCACTTATATATACTGTGATGATGCCTCCACAAAAGGCAGATTTGTTCATTTGATTTGACCTGGTATGTGACCTTAGGTTGATGATGTAGGATAGCTGTTTGCCTCTTCCCTTCTTGGCTTTCAGAATATCTTCTACCTAGTGCACAAGAGTGAAAAGTAGAACTAGTTTTTCATCCAAAAGTGCACGACTAATTCAGTCTTGTACTCAGTAGTAATTCCAATATGTTTGGGAATGACATTCAATTAAAGCCACTGACTTTTGCAGGCAACAGCAGCCATAGTTGCCTCCCTGATCTAATCACTTATTTTGTTGGTATTTCTCCAAGAGAACATGTTGAAAGAGCATCACTAGGAAACCTGCTGGAGTGGTTGCAATGGCTGGTTTTGTGCCTTACTTAATGAAATATTCATTATTGATGAGAACAACTGTAAAAATCATGTTTGCTTTCCAGTTGCTATTGGACTGTAACTTCCAACATTCTTCACTGTTTATGCTGGCAAGAGTTGTAAGGACATGCAGTTCAACAATAAGTGAAGGTCTGCTTCATCTCCACACCTGATTTAATCAGTTTAATCTGCTGAAAGGCCACAGTATATGGAATTACTAGTGTTAGAAACTCCAAAGCTGTTTTGAGTAAAGTTCTTAATTTCTGAGTGCTGGGCATCATGTCTGGCACCCATCAAACATGGATTCTTTTTTATAGAGCTATCTATGTGTGTCAGTTTAATTACCAAGCTGAATTCTTGCCTTTCAGACATAGGTCAGAAGCTTTCCCAATGTCTGTTTCACTTGATCACAAACTATTTGATGTTCACAGTAAGCATGGCACCACACTTGTCTGATGACATGGCTATATAGGAGCATGCTCATTATGAAATGCACCAAGATGTGCTTGATCTTCTGCTGACTCTGTGCAAGCATATCTAGTAGGACCAGGTGTTTCTAAGTTGATTGAAAAATGTTGTCATAATATCTCCTTTGAAGTCTGGAATTGGATTTAAGAGTATTGCTCAATTGCTTCAACATGCGGTGCCTGTCAGCTTCTGAAATGAATGATCCATACTCTCCTTGTTGTAGTCCTGAATATGACAATCTGTAACAAATACTCAATTCATCTGTAGGAATAGCAGTCTTGATTACCTAAAATAGTTGGAAACAAAGTCTTACTGAGGCTAGAACATTATGTTAAAAGGAAAAATATTTTAAAAGCCTTGTGAAATAATGAATCCCCAGAATTTTTCATAATTTTGGATGAATGCAGTCTACCTATCAACATAGATTACATATGATTGTCCACACTTTTCTTCATGGATATAAAAACAAGAAGCAGATACAGGGCTCTGTCACTGCACATTAATAAACTGAGTCTGCAGTCATATTGCAATCGCATTCAACTTCATGTGATTTGTTTTCAAAAACACTTTAACTGTGTTGTTGTTAAAGTAGCAGTTGCCGGTTATAATAAATTCTGCCTGTTCCATTTTTGTAAATCAAAAATAATATTGCTCCTTAAAGTTGCATGCTCAGTATTCTCTCCATTCCAGTTTTATTATTAGATGTGCTTATAATTAGGTTTAAATAATGCTTAACTTTTTTGAGCTGAATAAAATGTATGTTGTTCCATCTGAAGACAGCTACAGCATTACACTAGTCTTCGCATTTTTTGTTATATAGAGATATACACATAAACTAACGAGTACGTAACTATAATTATTTTTCATTCCAGGTACTAACTCTGCTTTGTGATGCTTGCAAGAAAGTGACCTTTAATGTGCCTGCAAAAATTGAAGCAATGACCTTAATTGGTAGAGGTAAGATACTTAAAATTGCTCACTGTAGCTTCTTCCTGTTATTTTTATAGTGACATTATTGATTTTATTTTCCCTTGCAAATCAGTGCCTTTTTATTTTGAAGTACACCCTATTGCAGCGAATGGGGTTAACACCTATTTAAGCTTGAAGTCTAGTGTTATAATCCTAAACACACTTAACTGGGTAAAGGATCAACTAACTATAGCAGGTTATTGTTTTCTAAATAAACACGCAGAAGATTATTTTATTCTAGCACTGCTTCTAAAGATTCTACATATGAATAGGTTAGTGAAAACTAGCAGAATTGTCAAAATCAATTTTTTAACTTTATTACCATCCAGCTCTATATATTTACTTGCTTTTAGATTTGTAGTTTTGTCCCATCTTCTATGGGTGGATAGATCCTAGACTCATAAGTTATCTTTGGAAAAAAATAACACTAGCTGTTAAACCTCAAAAGTAAAAAGAGTAAAGCTGAATAACTGTTATGTATAATCCAATCCTAAAATAGGCTGTATTACTGAAGAGCAGGTCTAGCATCACAAATTATGCAGAGATTGCATTCTCATACATACAAAAACCATTAATAATACCAGAAATTCTTTGCTACATTATTGTTGTTTCTTTATTTTCATTTTTGCAATTCTTTTCCAGTAAATCTCAGGCAGTGTCTGAGGACTCCAGACCTGATCAGTTCAAGCGATCCTGACTTCTTGATTCTAGAAGATGGTTCTGTATATACTAGAAATAGTGTTTCTTTATCTTCTGAGAACAAAACCTTTACTGTACTACTTCAGGACTTGCAGGATAATCAGCAGAAGAAAATACATGTCAGTTTGGTGTCTCACCCCAAAATGGTATGTGGTGCTTATTTCAAGACCAAATTTGTGTGTGTGTATGTGTGAGGGAGAGAGAGAGAACATTTATGTAGCATTATCTGCTAAGAAATATCATGGGTGCTGACGTTTGAAGAGTAGTTCTTGACTTTCTGTTTCATATTGAAATTTATTTACATTGTAGTGAAAAACAGACCAAATATCTTTCAGTCAAAAATTTCTTCTAAACTATCTACATATATAAAATGAAACAACCCATCCTTCCAATGGGGATGTTGCTAAAAAGTTTCTATCTACACCAGTGGTTCTCAATCTGTGGGTCCCCAGGTTGTGGCCTACAACTCCCAGAAATCCCAGCCAGTTTACCAGCTGTTAGGATTTCTGGGAGTTGAAGGCCAAAACATCTGGGGACCCACATGTTGAGATCCACTTATCTACACAGATGAAAAGTAGAAAAGGGGTGCTTGACATGTGTAAAATATATTTTTTTAAAGGAGCTTCATTTTCAGTTCTTTGTGAACCAAGTGTCTGTATGTGTGAGAGGGAAGAATGGGGAATGTAATCAAATAAAGCAACTTGTTTCTAGAGTATATTGCTAGAATATCTTCTTTGTTTCTTTTTGTGATATCCAGAAACACAAAACCAAAGACACTGTTCTGAGGCGAAGTAAACGAAGATGGGCTCCTGTTCCTACTGTTATTATGGAAAACTCACTGGGACCTTATCCAATGCAAATTCAGCAGGTATATTTTTATAAGCCAAGCAGATGAAAAAACAAAGCATTTTTTCCTATTCCGTCCTTTGAAATTATGTTCTGTGAATAAAGGAAAAGAAACTTTTACTAAGATATTATGTTGGGAAAATAATTGTGGAAAGGCTAGTTTGGAATGGCTGTTTGGATATCACCATTAATTCTGCATCCAGGGGAAAGATCAAATTCTGAAACAGGATTCAAGTTTTCTCATGTGTTCTTTTAACCTGGAGTGCAAGCCCACAAAATGATTCACACTCATGCCTTTCTATGTGGTCAGTGTAGATGGAGCCCCTTTTGACCCATTTCCTAAGTAAGAATAAGGCTAGGACAGTAAATTACCCAGTTCCCAGGTGAGGTAAAAAGAAAGATAGTCCATTTCCTCCCTTCATTAAGAATAGTACATCTAATTATAATCCAACCCAAGTCATCATAGGTTGTCACTCGTAACCAAATATAATTGTCTTCCAAGGGGAAAGTCTTGGCAGTAGGTCCATAAAAGACTATGAAGGCCTATTCTGGATTCACATAGTCTTTCACATAAAATATCATCACACTGCCAGATTGCATTTTCTTGTTTCGTGTTTTATAGTCAAGTAAAATGGTAGCATATCTGAAATTGCTAATTCATGTTCTGTGACCTAAGTTTATAACAATTTCTCCTAACTTTCACTTTCTTATTTATTACTGTTGTAATACAACAGAATGTGATTTTCAGCTGCCTGCTCTGTTTATATAGTGTTTACAGGTCTTTATAGAAAGCCCTGAAAGATTTTTAAAATACAGGAATACAGCCATGAAGAAGCTACAAATAAATGCACTGTAAATATATAGTAAATACAAACTCTGTTACAGTCTTTAATGAAGAGTTGTCAGTGAGAATTATCTGTTTAAGGCATTCCAACAAAACCTTTCCAATTTTGTCCTATATGTGGATGATGACTGTGCATGATGAAATTGCTGCCCAAGACAATAGGCACTAGATTGTGTAAACTTGGATTATAAAGTCACCTTTACAAATCGAAACAGGTCTAATCTGAAACCACCGGTATTAAATATATGAGTGCTGCTTACTTGCAACAAGTATGCTTATGTTTGCAGATCAGGCCTTCCACTTTTTTGTGTGAGGTGCACAGTACCCCTTGCAGATGTGGAAAAGCCATGCATAAAAAGGTGCTATATATTTTTTGCCTGGGAAAGCACTTTTCTAGGTTAGATCTATACTGCCCAATAATCCAGTTTCAGAATGTGGATTAACTGCATGGATTTGGATTATAGGGCAATGTAGACTGATATAATCCAATTCAAGGCAGTTAATCCAAATTTTGAAACTGGATTATAGGGCAGTGCAGATTCAACCTAGGACTTTATAGACCCCTCCAGCGCACCTCCTGTAGATATTGACTATAGAACTGTGCTGGAGGACCAAGAAATGCTTAGAGAAATGTTCTCTTAAGGAATCTCCAGGTTTTCAAGCCCAACTCTATGGTCAGCTAAAACACCTTGGGATTTGTTAGAGAGAACATACTAATCACATTCGCAAATAATCTGGTCCTCAGAAATACCCACAAATTCGGTGGGCTGACTGTCATATATTCACAGTGTCTCAGAAGTATATAGTATGATATATTTTAAGTGTCCTGATGTTTACAGAAATCCTGCCTAGTGCTGATGTCAGAAAATCAGATCTGTACTTCCTTCCTCAGATTGTAAAGTGACAATGGTTTTCTTTTTATATAGTTGTCTTCTGATACAGCCCAAAGATATAATATAACCTATTCTATAACTGGTCCTGGTGTTGACGAACCACCAGTAAATTACTTCTACATTGAGGCAGAAACTGGAAATCTCTTTGTTACTAGAGCAATAGACCGGGAAGAGTATCCAGAATTTAAGGTATGAGTGCCAATTTTGTCATGCATCCCTATATTAAAGTTTCATATGCATTCAGTAACACTCTTAATAATGTAGAAAACACCAGGCTAAAGATACTTAATGTTAATCTGGAATATACGTATGTATTAGAACAGTGAGGCTTGTCTCCTTGTGCTTGTCTTGTTAATGCTAACCACTGATTCACTTGGAGTAGTTAATGACATTTTATCTGATTGGTAAAATTGCTAATGAGGTAGGATTTTGACACTGAAAATGAATACTTCAAATCAAGTTTACATTTATACTGATGAAACAGAAATGCATTAAGAATTTTAAAATATATGAATATCAGAAACATAAATCTACTTAGTCTGTGAACTTCTTCAGTGAAATTAAATGCTCATATTGCATTAGTAGAGAAATTTTCACAGGAAACCCAAGTATCCTGGCATAGGCAGCAACATAAACACCTTTCTTTCCTTCCTACAGATAATTTGCTCTGCTAAGGCACAAGATGGCTATACTCCGGAGATCCCACTTATACATATAATTCGAATAGAGGATGATAATGACAACCCCCCACTTTTTAACCCAAGTACTGTGGTGTTTGTTATTCCTGAAAGTAGTAGATCTGGTAAGTAGATAAATAATAGAAAACATCTGTTAAATTTGTCAAGAATATGTTTGATTGGATGCTTGATACCTGAGCTTAAGCCAGTCTCGGTGGACAGAAATGTACCTGAGCTTTGGTCACTTTTGTCCATTGAGAGACTCCTTTCTCAGTAGATAGAAGTGACTAAAGGTCAGCTGTGTCTTTACCTATGAGAAAGAAAATAGACTTCTTACTGGGGAGACAAATGTGGCTGAGTTTCATTTGTTTCTCTCTGCAAGAGAAGGAGACCCCTTTCTCCGGGGAGAGAAAGGCAGCTGGACTTTTGTTACTTCTCTCTACAGAGGAAAGAGAATGAAACTGTATAAAACAAACTTGTGTACTATAAAGTAATGCACTTAATTTAGTATGTAGTTTTGTGTTTTTAAAATCTCAATAGTCTTACCCCATGGGAAGGTTAGGTTAGAAACCAGTAGATATAATTGAACTACCTACATATCTCTATTTGACGTGTGAAACATGGAGAATGCCTATATTTAGAAATATTCAGAGTTTCTTCATATACAAAGCACTTTTTGTCAACAAAGCTGGCTCCAAGGCTTTGGAAGGGCCTTGTATCCTTGGTCATTGCTTTCAAACTCTCAAATTTCTGAATGATTCCAAACTCTGCTTGAATGAAAAACATGAGGCAGAGGGAAGGGGGTAAGGCAAGAATAGTACATACTGTATATACACGACTATAAACCAAATTTTCAGCCCTTTTTTTAGACTGAAACGCCACCCCTTTGGCCAATGCTCCAGTCAAAGTTATTTCTTATTTTACTCAATTGTTGTTGTTGTTGTTGTTGTGTTGTTATTGTTATTTTATTATTATTTTATTACATTTATTTTACTCTATTATTACATTATTTTACTCTGTTATTATTTGTATCACATTTATTATTTTACTATTTATTATTTTTATTACATTTATTGTTTCACCCTATTATTACATTTGTTATTTTACTCTATTATTATTGTTATTATTACATTTCCACTATTTTACTCTATTATTATTATTTTATTACATTTATTATTTTACTCTTTTATTATTGAAAGGATATGTAAGCACATTTTCAATGAAGAAGGTTAGAGTAATGGTTTAATCAGAGTTGGACAGTCTTATCTTAAATTACAGTTTTATGTAAATATTCAAAAACATTTAACCTACTGATGCCTCAATTAATGTAATTTTATTGGTATCTATTTTTTATTTTGAAATTTATCAGTAGCTGCTCCATTTTTCACTCTTGCCTTATACTCGGGTCAATGTGTTTTCCCAGTTTTTGTGGTAAAATTAGGTGCCTCGGTTTATATTTGGGTCGGCTTATACTTCAGTATACACAGTATTCACTTTGGTAATTCGTTGCTTCAGCTTTCAGGGAATTATATTAACAATGTTTTCCTTCTTACTTCAAGCTCTGAGTGAAGCTGTGGAGCAAGGGAATTTCTTCTGAGTACAAATCAGTGGGAGTTTACTGTTTCTGACTTTAGTGCTAATTGAACAACAACCTTCCCCTCTTTAAGCTTGAAAAATTGCTTTAAGCTTCAAAAATGGTTCTGTTTTAAACAATTGACAACTTTTAAAACAAGTGTTATTCATCTGCCAAGTTTGCATGCAACCAGGTATGGGCAGAAAGCTACAGCTAGCTTCATACTCACATGTATCCCATTATTTCTGTACACTCCTTATGTTTGGATCTCCCCACATGGTTGAAAGGAGAACTTTAGAAACCTTTTTCAACCATAGCTTGCCATGGTGCCAAACCTCAAATCGTAGTTAACGTGAATTAATGGTTAGTGTAAACAAGAAAGCTTCAGTGATCATGTTCTTGAAACAGGTCCAAAATAAGATAGGTAGAATCACAGTTTATTGATCTGTGCAACATAAAATATTTCAGTTCAGTTGAATATTTCATTTCCTCCCTGCAGGAAAAAATACTGAAGAGCATCAACAAAAAAGGAGTCTGGTCTCAGTGTGCTTATAGTTGGCTTGAATTTATTCTTTAAAAGAGCCCATGAAATTGTCCCCTTCTTTTTTAACTGTCAGATAAAAAAAGAACCTCTGTGTTGCTAAAATGAAAGTCAAATTGCAGATTTATGTTAATTGTGAAATAGTCCCAAGATCTGCCTTGTCACATCTCCATAAATAGAAAACATTATCCAGGTATCGAGTTCAAAATATTAGCCTATAATCATATTCCGCATTGGGACTGGAGATTTATTTTTTAAACTCTCCAAATCTAAATTGACAACTTCAGAATCCATGGGACTCACTTGGTCAATAAAATATATTATGAATAAAAATATATCATGTTAGGGCTATTTCAGCCAGAGAAAGTAAGGAAATTTCTCATGGCTCCTGAGGTTGCCAATTTAAATATGAACAATTTTGAACAAGTTTTGATTGCATCCATAGTTTTTTTTGGAATCTGTAGCAAACAGTTGATTATTCAGCTACTCTAAGCATTCTGTATTGTGCTATAGCTATAATTTTAAGCATTATACTAAGAAGTTAAATATACAACACTGATCATTTTCTCACATAGGTACTGTTATAGGACAAATGATTGCAACAGACAGAGATGAACCAAATTCATTGCACACTCAACTGAAATACAGAATTGTGGGTCAAAATCCTGCACCCTTACGTGGCACCAGTACATTTAATGTAAATGCAGATTCAGGTGTTATTACTTTGCATACATCTGCAACTCTGGATAGAGAGGTAAGTATTTTGGAAGTATAATGTTGGTGGCTTTTCATGACTTCTGAGCATTGAGGTTGCCATGTTGTTTGCAGTATGTTACTGTAGGCCTGCATATTATAAAGGGATCCATTCGAAGACCTGTTGTGTTGTAGGGTTTTTGTGCAATATGTAGAATTCTTCCCTCTGATCAGCATGCTGTTGAAAGCTTAAAATACTATAAAGTGCAAAGTCAAAATATCTACTTGCTCCTGCAGTAGAGTAGCCGAAGGAAAGACTAACATGTTGCTGCACATCCTGCTTCTGAAAGCTGTCCACTCCCTAGATTCCAAACTGGTAGAAAGCCATGCTATGTGAAGACATCTCTCTCTTTCCACTGAGAACGAACTCTCTTTCCTCTCTGAAGAGAAGTAACTGAAACCCTACTGTGTTTCTCTTCTTAGAGGTAGAGGTCTGTTTCCTTTCTCAACAGACATAATTGCAGCTTGATTTCCATTGCTTCTTCCTGCCGAGAAGTGAGTCTATTTTATTATTCTATGGGGAGAAGTGACAAAAGTCTGGTTGTACTTCTGTCTCCCAGGAAAGGAAGCTGTGATCTTTCTCACTGGACAGAAATGCAGCTGAGATTCAGTCACTTCTGTCCACCAAGAAAGAAAATGGACTCCTATTTCAGCAGAGAGAAATGACCAAAGCCCAACTGTGTTTCTGTTCATTGAGAAAGAAAATTGACCCTTTCTTTTTGGGGAGATCAATGTAGTTGGGCCTCTCGTTGCTTCTCTCCACAGAGGAAAGAGACCAAGATTGCATAAAACAATCTTATTTAATGCACACACCTACTGTATGGCATTTTTCCAGGTGAACTTGTCCAGACTGGATATATGAATTTTTCATATAAATTTTACAGAAGCATGCAAGAATTAAAAAAAAAATCAGTAGGAAGAAACAAAAGCATTCCTGCCTTGAAGAAAATGGGTAGAAGTGGAAGTTTATCTCTCTTTCTATTTTGTTTTTGTAGGAGTCAGCAAAATGATAGTGTTTTTTTCTTCTTCTTTGCAAAATTAGACTCACAGAGGTGAATTACTTGACCTTTTCTGTGCATGAAATGGGAACTGAAAGATATTTTCTTCTTCTCTGCTGAGCAAGGTTTTTCTTTGACCTTAGAACAGTGGTTCTCAATCTGTAGGTCCCCAAATGTTTTGGCCTTCAACTCCCAGAAATTCTAACAGCTCGTAAACTGGCTGAGATTTCTGGGAGTTGTAAGCCAAAACACCTGGGAACCTACAGGTTGAGAACCACTGCCTTAGAGGGATGTTCAGGATTCTAGCAGGCTTATATTTTTGAAAGGCTGCAAGATAGTACATTTATCAAACCTAATTAGTTTAGGTTTGCAACTCCTGTAAGTCATTAAAAGAGGATCCCTTCTTTTTTTGTCCTGTTTCAGACAACAGATAAATTTGTAGTCCTAATTGAAGCAAGAGATATGGCAGGTCAGCGCTTTGGTTTATGCAGTACCGGAACAGCTGTCATTGAAGTTGAAGATTCTAATGACCATGCACCCATGTGTGAACATGGCATGGTAAGTGTTCCATGTTCATATTTAATATATTTGATTTTCCCCTTTCAAAAAACGAAAAAGAAAACAACCTAGTTTCCTAAAAGGTAAAGGTAAAGGTTGTCCCTTGACATTAAGTCCAGTCATGTCTGACTCTGGGGTGTGGTGCTCATCTCCATTTCTAAGCCAAAGAGCCGGTGTCGTCCATAGACACCTCCAAGGTCATGTAGCTGGCATGACTGCATGGAGCGCCGTTACCTTCCCGCCGGAGCGATATCTATTGATCTCACATTTGCATGTTTTCAAACTGCTAGGTTGGCAGAAGTTAGTGCTGATAGCGGAAACTCATGCTGCTCCCTGGAATCGAACGTGCGACCTTTTGGTCAATAAGCTCAATAAGCTCAGCAGCTCAGCACTTTAACCCACTGCTCCACCGGGGGCTCCCCAGTTTTCTAAATATATATAATAAAACTAACTTCTGAAAATCTTTTTTTAAATTTCAGTATGAAGTATATGTTCCTGAAAATACATTTGGTACGAAAGTACTGGACATTGGTATCATAGATAAAGATGCAGAAGGAACACCAGGCTGGCATGCTACTTTTGACATTATAAGGGGGAATGAAGATGGTGCTTTCAAAATTGAGAGAGATCCAAATTCAAATGTTGGTGTTTTGTGTACTGAAAAGGTAAATGATGACGGAAGTAAAGAAAAATATGATTTGTTGGTTATGTAGTTTTGTTAGTAAATTAAATCTACAGAGGAGTTTATTGTATCACTGGGGGATTGGAGGGGAGGGTAATGTTATACATATTCTCTAGCATATAAAGAAATTTTATCTACAATGTATTTTATTCCAAAAACAGGTAGATTCTTATCATCTGGAGTTCGCATTAGTCTTTTGTCTTCTTGTATTATCCCATCTTTTTCTTATCTTCTCCTCTGAGCCTGTATAAGTGTTCTTTCTAATTATTGTCTCTGTTTACTTATACATACTCAATTTCCCTGCTATTATAATAATATCTATCCATTTACATATCTCAGAGTCGATTTCTTTTGTTAATACACTAGTAATACTTATGTAAATATATCAGTCTATTGTCTATGCAGATTCTATGTGTGTGTGTGTATGTATATATATATATATATATGTATATATGTGTGTGTATATATGTATAGAATATCCACAGCATTGAAATTATATGCATTTCTATAATGATTTAGAAATATTAACCCATCTATCTTCAATCTTTTATTTTTTAGAATACAGAATCTATTCATATATTATTCATATTAGTTTTAGTTCACAAATTCTGTTATGATCATCTTCAGATTTTTTGCAAAGTTCATAAAAGTTTCCTATGCTTCTTGCAGTTTCTGCAAGTTAGTTTGTTGTAAAATTAAAGTTAATTTGTCCATTTTGGCCATTTCAAAAACTTGTAATCCAGTCATCTGTCATTAGGGTCATACTTTATCATTATTAATATCCATAATGCAATAAAAAAACCTTTTAAAAATATAGGCAGACAGAAGAAAAAAAACTGGATGTACTCTTAACTCTAAATCACCATGCTCTTTTTTTCAGGAAGTGTTGACCATACCAACTGTAAGGTGGCTGTCAATGGACTATGTCATTAGCAAATAAAATAGAATTTAATTGAAGCAAAAAAGAAAAGAAAGAATGTTAGAAACCCTTTAATTGCATGTTGCAGCTTATGTGACCTTTACATTTTACTTTTCCTATATTTTCCAGGGGCTAGACTATGAAAAGAACAAGGAGAGAAGATTGGAAATTGTTGTAAACAATGAAGCGCCTTATGTGCTGGGACCAAACTCAAGACCAATCTCTACAAGCACTTGTGTTGTTGTTGTCAAGGTCCGGGATGTGGATGAAGGACCTGTATTTGATCCTTGTGTATATGTTCTAAATGTTAAAGAATGTTTGGATGGTGGAACACTGGTTGGCCAGTACCTAGCAAGGGATCCAGAGACTGGAAATAGTGAAGGCATACGGTAGGTATATAATTGTTTGAATTTATTTTATATTATTGACATTGTTGATATTTAGGTTTGGAGATGGAAAGCGTACTCTGCTCTAACACTACCCCAAACTCAAATGCTCTGTAATTCTCCTATAGGCAGTTCCCAAGTTACAACCATCTGACTTACATCTGACTCACAGTTAAGAAGAGGGCTGAAACAACAGGAAGTGAGAGAAATCCCCCCCCCTCGCTCAGAAGAAAGAGTTATCATGGGGAAACGGTGTCTCCACTGAAGCTTTCTCACTAATTTTGTTTACACAACAACCGCAAATTTTCAAAATCCAATTATCACGGGGACAGAAAGTGAGGTGAAATTTTCTGAACGGGCACAGACAGCAAAAAAACAAAAACAAAAAACACCACAGGGGTGTTAAATTCCCACCCCCATGCTGCCCTAAGCTATTTATATATTTGCCTGTGGTTACACTTAAAAATGGGGAATAGGTGTTTCCTTGTTTCTACAAGCAGCCATTTTTTTCAAAATCCAATTACCGTATATACTCAAGTATAAGCTGAGTTTTTCAGGTTGAAAAAGTTCCCCTCGGCTTATACTCAGGTGAGATACTAACAGGAAGGAAGAAGAGCCCTTTCCCCAGACCTTCCTGCCAGGACACTCACCTCTCTATCACAGCATCCCAGCTCTCCTTCTCCCTTTGCCCCCATGCACCTTTCCCTTCTCCGAGCCTGGAGGGGAGCTAGGCCATGGATAAACCCTGCTGCCACAGTTCCCTTCTCTGCTGCTGCTGAGGAAGGTACACACATGGGGCAAGGGGGGAAGGCCTCACACTTCCCCTTCTTTGGTGGGGAGTCAGGCCACTGAGAAAGCCTGCTACTGCGGCTCCCTCTGCTGCCCCTGCCATGGCTCCCCCCTCCCTCCTCTGCCACTGCCAAGGAAGGTGTGCACATGGGGTGAGGGAGGAAGGAAAGGCCTTGTGCTTCCCCTTCTTTGGACGGGAAAGTTCCCTACCGTGGTTCCCTCTGCTGCCGCCAAAGAAGGGGAAGCATAAGGCCTTTCCTCCCTCCCTTGCCCCACATGCACACCTTCCTCAGCAGCAGAGGAGGGAGCCACCACAACGGGCTTTCTCCGTGGCCTTGCTCTCATCCAAGGAGAAAGTCCACTGCTGCTGCTCCCTCCTCCACCACCATGGCAAAGGAAGGCACCTAAGTGGCGAGGGAGGAAGGAAAGCCCTCGCGTTTCCCCTTCTTTGGAGGGGAGCAAGGCCACGGAGAAAGCTTGCAGCCATCTCAGCTCCCTCCTCCACTGCCACAAAGAAGGGGAAGTGCAAGGCCTTTCCTTCCTCCTACACGCGTCTTCCTTAGCGGTGGAGGAGGGAGCCGAGGCAGCGTTCTTTCTCTGTGGCTTCAATCCCCTCCGAGGAGAAAGCCGACCGCCGAGGAAGGCATGCGCAGGATGAGGAAGGAAAGACATAATTCTTCCCCTTCTTTGGCGGCAGTGGAGGAGAGAGCTTTGGCAGTGGGCTTTCTCCTTGGAAGGGAGCAAGGCTACAGAGTAAGCCTGTCACTGCAGCTCCTTCAGCCGCCACCGAGGAATGCACAAGAGGGAGGAAGGAAATGCCTCGCACTTTCCCTTCTTTGGAGGGGAATGAGGAGGAGGAGACGTCTCGCTGGTGATACAGGTATTGGCCACACAGTGCCCAGAAAGAGCTGCCTTTTAAAAAACATTTTACCCTACACTTTGCCAGGAGCATTTCCCACCCTCACTTATACTTGAGTCAATAAGTTTCCCAGTTTTTTGAGGTAAAATTGGGTGCCTCGACTTATATTCGGGTCAGATTATACTCAAATATATACGGTATCTTAGCGACAGAAAGTGAGGTGAAATCTTCTGAACAGGAACACAGACAACAAAATAAGGGATGTTAACCATTCCCTATACTATTCAAAGTCCCCCCCTCTCTCTATATATATTTCCAGCTGGAGTTACACTTAAAAATGGATCTGTTCCAATTTACATAGAAATTCAACTTAAGAACAGACTTACAGAACCTATCTTCATAAGGTACCTTATGAACCTTCATAAGGTTCATAAGGTACTGTCGGTATATGGTGGTTTGTACCAGCCTGTTAGATGAATAATAAGGAAATAATATATATCTGGTATTTTTTTGCTGACAGCTATTTTTATTTATTTTTATTATTATTATCTATATCCCACTTTTTTCTCCATTTGGAGACTCAAAGTAGCTCACACCTAAAAGCATTACAATACAACTTAACATATACAAATATTAAAACAGTATTAAACATTGTTAATATGAAAACAATTCAGGTTAAAACCATAAAATCATATAAAACCACAGCAGCCCTTGACAGTCTTAAAAACATTCTTCTTTAAAAGCCTGCCTGAATAAAAAGGTTCTAACCTGCAGGCTGAAGGACAGCAAGGAGGGGAGTTATAGAGTCGAGAGGCAGTCACCGAGAAGACCCGCTCTTGTTTCCATCAACCAAGCTTGAGATTGAGGTGGCACTGAGAGAAGAGTGTCTCCTAAAGTTCTTGGGTTGGGTAGGTCGTACAAGGGAATGTGATTGGCTAAATATTCTATTACAAACAGCTATATTTATTATTGACAGGTATGGAGTGTTAAATGATCCATGCAATTGGATCACTCTGGACAACACAGGTCACATCAAAACCACAAGACTGTTAGACAGAGATGCACCAGATCTGAAGCTCTATCAGTGTAACGTAACAGTCATTGCTACAGATCGAAGTGAGTACCAAGTATCACAGATAACATTTATTGGTTGTTATATTCCTTGCTGCAATTTCTTATGAGGCATTAATTCATTTATTGGACTCACACCACCTTTCTCAAATTTCAATCATCAATTAAGAAACATTGATATTAAGAAGACTAGAGTGCACTACAGAAAGTCGCTATCTGGACCTTCCTTTTCAGACAAATAGGAAATCTTCATTTTTTAACTTAGTTTTGTTTTGAAATGTTTATACCTCATCAAATGTCAACATTTTCTTTAATAATATTTAATATTTCTTTCATAGACATCAACTCTGTTGAACATTAATGAAAGAAATGTGTTTTATACAAAGATATGAATACAGAAATTAATTGGAAAGAAATGTAGAAGATAATACCAAATAATTTGCACACTTAATAGTTAAAATTATTAAATGTCAAATTATTAAGAGTTAAATTGTTAAAATTAATATGTCTGATGTATGTAATGTTTTGTTTATCTATTAAAATATTTATAGTCCACCCTGTATCTGCAGATGTCAGGGTGGCATACAATGAAAGCAATTCTAATTTAAAAACATATCCATACAATATGAGTAATTTTAAAAGGCTAAACTATATTGAATAACCTGAAAAATTGAAGCTATTAAAAACAAAGCCATTTAAGATTATTTAAAAGCAAGTGCAGAGTAGAAACTATCTTTTTTTCTTCAGATTATATAATACTTATGAATATCTAACTAGTCAACATGTGTCTGTGGAACCAGTGTGCTTCAACTCCCACCACACCACCTTTGTGTATATTTCTAGGCATTACTACAGTCTAAATTATTTAACTTCATTGTGCCATTGATTTCAGTGTTAGCCATGGTTGAGATTAATTATAACTTTCTCTTCACCAGGTTTTGAATTCTGAGTTGTTAGGGGAGTCTTGTATTTGTTTTTATTTAAGATCAGTGCTTTCTAAATCAACATTTTAAAACTTGTCTGAAACTGGATTTGGAATTGTGTACCCTTCCCAGCAGCCTTACTCAACGAAGCCAACTGTAAAGGGTCCTGGACATTGCAATCCAACAACAACCAAAGGGTTACAACACTCCCACTCTGAATCAGTAATACATAAATGGTTAAAGTGTTTATTTTTCTGTTTCTATTTTTCTCATGCAGGAAAAAAATCATTCCCTATATTTTAGTTAGGTTTTATTTGTTTTTCTTTTGCCTGTGTGTAAAATCTACAGGAGTAACTGAATGAGATTACAAAGTTTTCTTTTTGGACCAGCAATCATCAGAGGTCATTGCATAAAATGATAGTTACTTTTTGAAAAGAAAGGGCATAATGTTTAAATATTCTTTTGACTTTCTAATTGTAGATTTAATGTTCCCATTTAATATAGATTTCAAGCTTTGTTTAAAAATTAGTTTAAAAACAATGATGAAACAGGGAGATGATGCTATGTTTAAGCTGTATAAAAGTGAACAAGAGTTTCTGTGTCATCCATTTGCTTTAGACCCTGATGAGTCTGATTCTCAACAGACTTCCTTCTCCAATTGTGGCCTATACTGGCTGTTAGGCATTGTGGGAGTTGAAGTCCAAAACTCCTGGAGGGCCGAAGTTTGCCCACGTCTGCTATATAGGCATGCATGAGTCTGCCATTATTCTAACTATCATTTGCTTGTAGATTGTTCATCAATCTTGTATTTGTTTTAAAATGTTGTGTATTTTCTCACCACTATGATAATCTAATTTGTTCTGCATTATCTTGCAAACTTACATTCTACCATTTGGCAATTGATTATATGACAAGGGAAGTAAGTGTGTAGAAAATGCAATAGTATTTCATTCTGTGCACATTATAATGGAAACATCGGACCAATAGCGGAACCATCCATTTCTTGCTTGCCCCCATCCATTTTCTCATTCTTCTGAAAGTCATCTACTATTTTCGGTTGTCTGGGAGATTGGAATGATTGGAAATCATTTCTTTATCTGCTACTCAAGATGAGATAAGCTACACATTGTATATACAACATGAATCTGTATGAATCTGTTTGAACCATGCCATACACCAAAGCCCCATGAAAAAACAAAATCAAAGATTACTTTGAAAAAGATACAACCTTCATAAAAGGTTATATTCCATATTTTTCCTCCTTAAGGGTCTGGGATAAGTATTCTCCTACAAATAATTTCCAAAATGTCTGTTTTTGCTTTTGTAAAGGTCACCCCATTTATGTGACGCATGACATAGCTTTCAGAATATGGATGAAGCTTTCTAATTATGAAAGCCTAATGCATGCCACTTAAAACTGAAGTATTGGATGTATGATTATCTTACTAGCATAAGTTAGATGAAGGCAATCTTGAAATATGTGTATGTCATTAAAAGTGCTTTAAATTGTGTTTTCTAGGTGGTAAAACAGGCACTGGAACAGTGGTGGTTAATTTACTAGATGAAAATGATAATTTTCCAGTGATTATAAAGAAAAGGTACACAATATGTAGAGACCGAAAACCAATTTGTCTTACTGCTGTGGATGCTGATATACCTCCCCATACAGTTCCTTTCCATTTTGAACTTCCTGACCGGGTAGTGCCACAGTGGAGAATAGTACCACATGACGGTATGTGTGTCTTTCCTAAAACAATTACTTCTGAAGTACTGAAGTAATGGCTTTGATGCAGTGTTTAATGTTGGGTTCTGTTGTTTTGCAGAAAAATCTGTGTATTTAGAACCAGTGGGCCAAATCAATTATGGTGACTACTCAATTCCTGTCAGAGTTACTGATAATGCCGGTCACAGTGGCGTCACTGACGTAGAAGTTCAAGTGTGTGACTGTACAACTCCTAGTGATTGTTATTCCTCAAGAGACCAACCTGGAATTGGTATACAGCGAGCACCTAATGTTACACTTGGAATTTGGGCCATCCTGGCAATGATTTTGGGATCATTATTACTGCTATGTAAGCATTTTACCTATTTCATTTATTCAAATTATCTTTTCTTTAAAAATACCAAATGTGTTTTTTAAAATGTCAAATTGAAAGCATATTGCAAGTTTCAGACTGATTCTGATGTCTTATGTCTGTGAATTTGGTGTTTTTCTTCTTCATTTTTGGCCTCTGTCCTCACATGTCTCCAAACATAGGCAAAATCCTGGGTCAGTGTGTTTGACAGAGCATGTTTAACTTCCTGTTGGCTGAGATGTTTTATGAGCATTGGGGATATAGGAAGGAGACTGCAAGGTGGATAAGTTTAAATTTGCCCTCCCTGCAGTTGTTGATCCTCTCTGTTGCTTATGAAGCACCTGAGCACTGGTGAACCCATATCCAGGTTTAGTGGATGAGTCAGTCAATGTGGTGAATTAACTGCTGTGTGGATGAGAGGGAAAAATTTCATCACTTCTACCTTAGATAATTGAACATAAAGCTATGATTGGTGATCCTAAGTTTTCAAAGCTAGATTATAGATAGGGGGTTTATTTTTGTTCAATAGATTCAGAGTTGATATTTCTGATCTACCCAGGTGCACATGAGAGAATTGGGCAAGCAGAGAAGTATAAAAATGCCACAAAATCCCTTTTTATATTCCCTTTGCCTTTCTTAAATATGCTGAAACAGAGAAACATACATATATTTGTGAAAATAATACATGGATGCCCTGGCAATGGCTCACTGTGTCTCTTCCTTCCTCCAACTCCAGTGATCTTGATCACACTTTGCCGCTGCTGTGGGGCTGCACATGTCGGTACTAGTAAACACGTCTGTGATGATCTGGCGAACCAGAATTTAATTATATCAAACACTGAAGCCCCTGGAGAAGAAGTAATGGTATGGCTTTCTTCATTAATTTTAGGGCATCTGTGCAAGTATGTATTTGTGTGTTCATTATTATGCCTTTCTCCCAGTATCAACAAAGATCTAAACAAAATGTACTAAAAACTAATTGTGATAGTAAATAGGAATCATGTAAACTATATTGAAAAAACAGCATCAATATAAATTTCATTTAAAACATAACAATGGATTTAAAAAAAAAACAACCTCCTTAGATGCTAGTTAACAGCCAAAACCCTGGAAGGGGAATAAGGCTATAGGAGATAGTTCACCTTCGGTGAGAAAGAGTTCTACAGACTGAAAGCAGCTAAAGGGAAGGTAATCTCATGTGTCCTCACCTAATGTGTCTCAGGCAGTGATACAATTGAGAGGGAGCCCACTGATCTCAAAATCTGAGAGGGGTCATTTCAGGAGATGACGAATCATTTAGATAAGTTTAGACCGGAGGTAGGCAGTTGTGAGGTTGCATTACTTTCCCCTGTCAGACTCCTTGGAAGGCTGCATCCCCTACCATCCCAGTCTAGACAAAAGCCCATAAATGCTCTGTAGGGACCAGGAGAACATTTTGCAATGTTCTGGGGTCTTTCTAAGACATTTTAAGTGCCAAAGAGGCCCCTTTTAAAAACAGGAAATGAGATGAAGCCACTTGCTATTCACTTTGTGTTTTCAAAGAAGTTCTCTTTCAAGTGTAAATTTGCTCAAAATATGGCAAGAATACTCTCACACCCCTTCAAGTACATTTGGGTTTTATTTTATTTAGTGAAAAAAATGCAAAACATTTGTAAAAAGACCTGTCTCCTAGAGGGCTTAGGGCAGGCATGGGGAAACTTCACCCCTCCAGGTGTTTTGGACTCCTAACAACCGATAAACTGGCTGGCTGGTGTTAAAAGTCCAAAACACCTGGAGGGACAAATTTTACCCATACCTGTCTTAGGGGGTTCCAAATGTGGTACAGACACCCCACCCCCTAGATGGACTTTATCTCAGCCTATTGTTTTATGGTGCTGTTTTGATTGTGTTTGTTTTTATATTTTATTTGATTGTTTTATTGTGTTTCTGCTTTTATCTGTAATTTTGAGCTTGTCCCTTGTAAGCCACCATGAGTCCCCTAAGGTGGGGTATAAAAATAAAGGTGTTGTTGTTGTTGTTATTATTATTAAAAAATGGCCACAAAATGTCCTGAGAGACTTCCTTTTCCCCACCTCTGGTCTAGACCCAAGACTCACAGGTCTTAGCCAGCATTTTTATATTCAATTTATGTATAGGTGCTTGGGGTAAACACAGGGTAATAGGCAGACCTGCAAATCCATCCTATTGTGGTTTGGATGGAAGACAGAAGGAAAAGCTGAGGAACCAATTTAATTTAAATTAGTGAAGAAGTGTTTTATTTCTTATTTAAACTTAAGCTTGTGCACAAATGGCATCCTTAAATTTTGCACTCTGGGCAAAGGAACATTCTCCAGTAGATTTTCAGGGTTGGGGATCACTGTAATATGTGGTAGTAAAGCACAGAAGATGGGAGAATTAAGTTACTAGGTTGGTAGCCTGACAACCATCAATGCCCATGAAGCTAGTACATCAGAGACCTAAGGCATTACTATCATTGGTAAAGGCAGTGTATACTATTGCAGAAGAAGGAAACATTGTAGGAAAATTTGGCCTAGGATCAAGGAATGTAGCAAGAGAGTAACTGCATTTTTAAAGTCAACTTTTCAATGGTGTACATGGAAATCCCCTGTTCACTAATGTAGCAATTAATTTGACCTCATTTTGGTGAAAAGCTCTATTCTTTCTGTAAACACAATACCAGAAAGGATTGTGGCATAAACCATGAACTACTTATGTTAAAAAGATTAAAAGTAAAGCTAAATTACACCAAACCAACCATAGTTCCACAATGCAACTGGAACAACACATAAAAAATAGAAAAACGACAACTACGTAGAACAGAAAAACAATTATCCCATCCATTCAATCATCCCACCCACCGAACATGTACCTTTTTGTTTCCATGATTTCAAAAATGTTCAAATCAGCTCTGAGATGTCTTCCTCGGCACTTTGACAGATTTTTCCCCCATTATTCTTTTTTTTTAGGATCCCAACATACTTCCTGTGAAAACAGGAAACATGGTTACAACTGATCATGGGGTTGGCATGACAGGTGGTGGAATCAAGACTACGGGGCATGAATCCTTTGAAATGGTAAAGGGTGGACACCAGACTCTGGAATCAGTCAAGGGTGTAGGAGGACATCATACCCTAGAATCTGTCAAAGGTGGTGGACATCATACCCTTGAATCTGGAAGGGGCTATGGCCAGAATATGATGGATGCATACAGATACAATTATTCAGAATGGCAAAATTTCACACACCCTCGTCTAACTGAGGTAAGAGACCCAGCATTCATTTATTCTTAGTTCACAACTTTCTGAGAAGTAATATTAATCATTTACAGCTATGGTTGATGTATTCAACATTTAAGATCTTAGATTTCAGCCAGTGGTTTGAATAATTACTCTTTATTAAAAGCTGCCCTTCAGTTATGTTTGGTTTAGAGACATTAGTTTTGTTTTATTTGGAATTATTACCTGTTTTTGAATATAACTGAGGAGGAGCCAGGCGGCATTATATTGGGGCAGCTACTTGCATTGCCTTTCTGCTCTGCTTTGACTTTTTTCCATTTGAAGTAGGCTTTCCCTCCTTTTTCATCAATTTAATGCTATTCCTAATATCTGCTTGTAACAATATTAGGGGCTGATCAGCTAGTTCAGCCTAAGAAACTATATGCAAAGCTTGGAATGTTATTTGTATAGATACATTATCTTCTAATTCACTAATATTTAAAATGGAGTATGTTGCCAATATCACAGTGTTAGGAAAAACGTGGCTTGTTAAACTGATTGATCACTTTGCAAGTTTTTTAAACTGGGAAAATCATTATGAGGTATGAAAAACATTCCTGTCCAGATGCTTAAATGAACTTGAAAAGTAACCTTGAAAAGTACTCAGCGGTTGTTTTATTTTTATACCAATACATCAGCAATAATTTCATTCACACCTTTTGTGTTATTATTGAAATGGAATGTGACTTTGTTACACTCTGGTGATAAAAGCAACATATTATAGGTAATTATGTTGCTTGTTTAAACATTACTTCCAAGCTCTGAGTACAAGCAATAAGGATTTTGATTCAGAAGTTGAATCTGTACCAAATAAATACGCACTTCTATTTTTTCGCATTTTTTGTTTAATGGTTTTCCTGAAAAAAAAAAGGTGATTGTTACATGTGTGATGAGTAGACAGCTGATTATTTTGTTAAATCCGTCAAAGAATGAATGATATAGACCAATCATGTGCATTTTTTGTATATAGGAATCCGTTAGAGGACACACTCTGATTAAAAATTAAACATTAAAAGGTAAATCAACGAAATCATTTTTATGCCATCTGTTTAGATTAGTTTAAGAAAAAATCAGTAATTTTTGACTTTTCCCTCCTATGCAGAAAGTGTATTTGTGTGGTCAGGATGAAGAGCATAAGCATTCGGATGACTATATCCTTTCATATAACTATGAAGGAAGAGGCTCTCCAGCTGGCTCCATAGGCTGCTGCACTGATCAGCAAGAAGAAGAGGCGCTTGACTTTTTAGATCAGCTGGAACCCAAGTTTAGGACATTAGCAGAAACCTGTGTTAAGAGATAAAGTGCTGATAATCCTGAAGAAAATCATCACCTTTTCCACTGGGTAGCTGTTTTAAAGCTTGAATATAGCATATTTCTTCTTCTTTTTTCCAATGGGAGTGGTTATCAAAATGCTTTCTTTACATTAAGTTTACCACCGTCAACATATCTGTGCCTTACTTCAAGCCACTGTGTGGGAATTATACTTCATGTAATCTCACCTGTTCTTAAAACTATACTTTTGAGGTAAAACAGCCTTTTTATAATGGGGAACACATTTTCAGGGTTTCCCCCCTTTCTGCATCTACCTTACATTATTTACAATATTGATAACTAAGGACCAACAATTGCTGCTTTTTGTGTGGGTGGTAGCAAGCTTCGCTTGATTCATTTGCTTTTTTCAATAGAAAGATATGCTAGGACACTATAGCCAAATGTTGAAATAGTTTCTTATTTGGGTTGCTGTGAGTTTTCTGGGCTGTATGGCCTGTTCCAGAAACCTTCTTTTCTGGGTTTCTAATTTTTTTGTTCTTTGAAAACACCAACCCTCTTTGGTTGCAATTCAAGTAATGAATTAAAACAGTGCTATCAAACTTGTAGTAGACAGAGTGGTACTAGCCCTGTGAGTTTCCAGGAAAGGAAAAAAAACCCATATGGCACAAATATGGGACTGGTCCCTGGCATATAGAGACAGGAATCTTGGTACCAGTATAACGTATCTTTAGAAGCTTTGGAGTAACAAATGCTAATCAGCCATCTAGCCGTATCCTCCTGGTTCTTCCCTCCCTCCCTTCCTCTGCTTTCTTTCCCTCCATTTTCAAATCATGTTAAGTGTATTTTATTTTATTTTATTTTTGCAAACAGGGTCTTCTCCTAAATTTGTTGATATTTCTTGTGTGCATTGTCTCATTGTGGCTACTTTAGGAGCAGCCTATAGAAAAGGAATTAACTTTGAATATGTATGATGTAGTTGAATTATGTAAAAGCCTCTCAATAACAACAACAAAACAACAATAGCAACAACAGGAGGAGGAGGAGGAGGAGGAGGAGGAGGAGGAAAAGGGAAGTATCGCAATAGATATTGGAATTTTGAAGCTTACTTCTCACTAAATATTTATACATAAGCTCTGTCAGAATATGCTGGATGGAATGTATAAGGCAGTGGTTCTCAACCTGTGGGTCCCCAGGTGTTTTGGCCAACAACTCCCAGAAATCCCAGTCAGTTTACCAGCTGTTAGGTATAAGGTGACAGTCACATGCTTTTGAAAACAATGGTGAAGACCAGCATTTCAGCTTCAGATATTTTAGATTAAACAGTAGTGTTTGTTACTCTGCTCACCTGATTAATATAAAACATTACGTTAATCACATCAAATGATGGATGTGAGGAGGGGAAAAAATGGTAGTACCAGCCAATACTTGTTAATGCCTGTCTCTGACAAAATGGAAAAACCAAATTAAGAGATATAAAAACACAGTCTGTGCCAACTCTCTACATCACATGGTAGCGTTGCTTTGCAGTTTATGTGTATGGGCTTGCCTGATGTATGCTGTTACGATGAAACATTTTGGTTGATATTCTCCATATAATATGTTTATATACCTATAATTTGTTAGGGCTAAGAGACATGAAGTAGAATTTTTGAGGTGCTTTCTGCAATGCTTCAAATGAGAGGTCTGAAAAAGGTTATATATGTTAACAGCATTGGGTTGGTTCTAGACTTAGCCATGCTTAGACTTATGGAAATTAGTTGCACTCTAATTAGTCATAGCTATCTTATGTCAATCAGAACCAGTGTGGTGTAGTGGATTGAATGTTAGACTGTGACTACTGGAAACCAGGATTTGAATCTCCACTCAGTCATGGGAACCCACTGGATGAACTTGGGTAAGTTACACACTCTGTCTCAGAGCAAGGCAACAGCAAACTCATTATGAACACGAAACCCTGAGATAGATTCCCCTTAGCACAGGGGTTCTCAAATGTTTTAAGCACAGGATTGGTTCATGGTCCCTTGGACTGTTGTAGGGCTGAACTATAGTTTGGAAAAGAAAGACAGAAATTCCTGTGCACACTGCACACATCTTCCATGTGCTAAAATCTCATGAAAAACAGTACAGTATTTAGACTAAACAATTTTAAGCACCATAAATTTACCAGTATTTCAATGGGAAGTTTGGGCCTACTTTTGGCTGATAAGATAGTCAAGTTAATTAGGATTGTTTCAGATTAGGGTGGGGGGCCAGGTAAATGACTATGGAGGACTGCATCTGATCTGGCCTTAGTTTGGGAACCACTGTCTTAGCATCATCATAAGTTGGAAACAACTTGAAGGTACCCAGTAACAAACAATATAATTTTTAAGGATAGTAAAGTCTGAATCCAAGACATTTAAACAATTAAAAACAAATGCCTTGCCTATTACAGAAATTGATATAATTATGATGAAATTTTAATATTCAAATTTGTTGATATTTTCTGTTTTACATTGTCTTCTTATGCTGTATTAGGCAGGTGCTACTAATGTCTAAATCAGTTGAATCGTAAGTGGTGATTATTTCAGAAACCTGCAACACTGAGAAAAGGTCTGCATTATTGAAGAAAAGCAAGCTTTAAAGTTTATAGAATACTGTACAATATCTGCCAGGAACATAATTTTGTCTTCCAGAACTAGTTGCACTAAATTTGCTTAAACTTTTTTTTTTTTGTGGTGGGTGCAATTGGTTTTTGTAAATTAGCTTTTCTGTTGTATGTCTGTTGTTTATTATTTAGTCTTTAGTACAAGATTGATTATTTTCCTGGGTCTGCGGAATCCAGAGAAAATACTGCAAGTGTTGAAGATCAGTACAGAGCTTTAAATGGCCCATAACTTTTATTCTATATTCAGTTTTCCCTCAAGGGATACCATTTTGGAAATCTAAAACTGAAGTCTCTATATCTGATAAAAAAAGATGCATATGTATGAAACTAGAGTGATGAATACTAAATTGGTCCTATTAGAAATATATCTGTTTTAATGTACTTTGGGGTGCTGAATTTGGAAAACACAACAAAATGTTCCATACTCAAGTATTCCACAAATTTAATATTTTATGCATTAAGTTGTTATTTAGTTTTGATGAAGTATCTTGATCTTTTTCTCAGATCACAATGATAGAAGATAAAAGATTATCTGGTTTTATGTCATGACCAAAGTCATTTTTTCTTTTAAAAAAGTAAAAGGAACCTGTGTATGTACGTACCTCCAAGACTTATGGTGATTGCATTCATTTTTCATAAGGTTTTCCTAGGAAAGGCAGTGTCTAAGGTGGCTTTGCTTGATTCCCTGTCAATATAGTCTACAGAACCTGGTATTCCGTAACCAGGTTTCTCAGTCCCTTTATTGCTTTGTCTACTACACACAGATTTACTTTGAGTGAAATGTTGTACAGAAATCCGGTCTTTTATTTTAACCTAGTTTTACATCAAACAATATACGGAGACATATTCTTCAAGAATCACACAGAAAATGAGACCCTATAGAACAACAGCATTCTTAGAGAATATTTATGTAATTTTAACATGGTTTTAGTCTTGTATCAACTTCAGAATTTTTAATGGTATAATTTATTGAAGCAAAAATATATTAATCTAGAACTCTATTCTGACTTTTGGAGTCAATTTAAATAGCCATAATCATGAAGAATTGGAATGTTGTGTGGTTTCTGGCCTGAATGGCCGTGTTATAGCAGCATTTTCTCCTGACATTTTGCCTGCACCTGTGGCTGGCATCTTCAGATGCAGGCAAAACATGCTGGTAGAAGATGACCATACAGCCCGAAAACCACACAACACTCTAGTGATTTTGGCTGTGAGAGCCTTCGACAATACAAATCACGAAGTATGTTTGAGGGTTGGACTGGTTAGGATGAGACAATAGAAACAAGATAAAAGTATAAAACAGAATAAATTCCATGTCAAATCATGTTATATCTGTTCCACTTTTTCAGTCTAGGTAATGTTTATTAAGAGGAGGTACCCTGTGGCAGAAGATAGATATTCCACATTCACATCTCAGCTTGGCCACACATTTTCTACATAGGTGATTTTGGACTAATCACTATCTCAACTTTCCAGTTGTAATTTGGGAATGATTGCCCTCCTTATGTGATGCTGAGCACTATATCCAAAGAGTGTTGAATACTTTATATGCAAAGGACTGTAAATATATTTTGGTTGCTTGATTTTATTAGCTGGACAAGGTTTTTCACATTTAAAAAGTAGTGCCATTTGCTTGCTCTGCATTTGGAGTGCAGAATATGCCGCGCAATTAACACATACATTGTTTGAATGTAGAAACATTCATATTATTGTGATGGCAGTAAGGATTCTCAATGCCTGCAATGTACATTCACTGAGCAATCTCTTTAAATTACCAAATTTACTGTCCTGAAAGAGTTGAAAATACAAACTAATGTATGATCAATTCTCTATATGTAAAGTTTGAGCATTTTGTATTAAATATTTATAAAAACTTTACAACAGATGGTGTAAAAAACCCCTAGGTTTTATGTTTATATCACCAACTAAGTGCTTGACTCAAACTGAAATAGATTTGTTATTTCCAACTCTGTACTTCTCAGGAGCTGTCTAACTGTGTAAACATCTTGTTTTGTTTCATGTTTTAAATACATTTTGTACGAGAAAAATAAAGTGGCTTTTATTTCAAAATAAAGGGATCTACTACAGAGTGCATTCATTTTATATGTTTTTATACATTTATTTGTTCAGTCCCAAGCCCACTAGCAAGTATTGATGTATGAATGGGTAAATATCTTCTGCTTTCATCCCACATTAAGTAGTCAGTATAGAATCAGAATCATAGAATTGGAAGAGACTACGTGGGTCATTCTGTTCAACCCCCTGCCAGGCAGGAAAAACACAAAGCACCTCTGACAGATGGCCATCCAGCCTTTTTAAAATCTTCCAAGAAAGGATGCTCCACCATGCTCTGAGTGAGAGAGTTCCACTCTCTCACTATCGCAGTTAAGAAGTTCTTCTAATGTTCAGGTGGAATCGCCTTTGAACCCATTGTTTCCAGGGCATCAGAAAACACACCTTTTCTGACATCCTTTCAAATATTTATACATAATGTCTCCCCTCTAGCTCTTTAAGCCACTTCTCATAGTGCCTAGAACTTAGATCATTTTAGTTGCCCTCCTCTGGACACATTCCAGCTTGTCAATATATCTCAAATTGTGGTGCCCTGAATTGTACACAGTATTCCAGGTGAGGTCTGACCAAAGCAGAATGGAGGAACCATTACTTCTCTTGATATAGACCAGTGGTTCTGGAAAACTGGCTGGGATTTCTGGGAGTTGTAGGCCAAAACATCTGGGGACCCACATGTTGAGAACTACTGAACTGGACATGCACCTTTTGGTGCAGTCCCAAATCCCATTGACTTTTTAGCTGCTGCATTAGAGTGTTGGCTCATGTTCAGTTACTTATCTACTAAAATTCAAGACCTCCTTCACATGGACTGTTGTTGAGCCAGGTGTCACCCATCTTGTATTTGTGCATTTCATTTTTTCTGCCTAAGTGTAGTATCATACATTTCTACTTGTTGAAATTCATTTTGTTAATTTTTGCCCAGCTCTCCAATCGGTCTCTAATCGGTCAAGATTATTTTGAATTCTGTCTTCTAGAGTATAAGCTATCACTCCCAATTTGGTGTCATCTGCAAACTTGATAAACATGCCCTCTAAACCTTCATCTAAGTCATGAATAAAGATGTTGAGCAGCACTGGGCTTAGGACAGAATCCTGTGGCACCTCACAAGGGACCATTGGTGAGCACCCTTTGGGTTCAATTGCTCAACCAATTACAAATTCACCTAACAATAGTATTGTCTAGGCTACATTTTACTAGGGGGTTTTTTGAAAAAAAAATGATGTGTTATGTTTTGCTGTATTGTGTTTCTGAGGCTTCGGCCTGTGTAAGCCGCATCGAGTCCTTCGGGAGATGCTAGCGGGGTACAAATAAAGTTAATAATAATAATAATAATAATAATAATAATAATAATAATAATAATAATAATGGGGGGACATAATCAAAGGCCTTACTGGACTCAGATATTCTACATCTACAGCATTTCCTATATCAACCAAGCTTGTAAACTCTTTTGAAAAAAGGTAAGATTAATCTAGCATGACTTGAGAACCCCATGTTGACTTTAGTAGAGATGCCCTGGGAGATAAGAAAGTGAAATATCCCTTTTTGTTCTATACATCTGAGAGTTGAAAAAAATAACCTGACAGAGGGAATAAAATGTTAGAATTGGTTCCAGGCATTGCAGAAAAGTAGTCTGGAGCAAGATAAATGTTGCTTGGATATTTAATAATGAAACACTGACGTATACATTAAAAAATACTGCAACCACTGGACACATTTGTCCTATCTGGATGAGCCCCAAATTACAAATCTCATGAATTTCATGCCACTTGAATGATCCTTTTGAAACCTAACACCAAAGTTATAATATCTTCCCCCTCTATGCCCCTTTTTTGGTTGTATGTTGTGTTTCATTTTGACTAAACCTGAGGGTAGAAAATCGTTAATGATTTCGAAGATGTTTTAGAAGCATTTTTGGCAAAAATTGAAGTATTCAATAAAAATGAATTACACACATTGCTTGGAAGGGAGTTCTCCAGATTAGAGGCTGTGAAGGCACAACTATTTCTTCATGTCACTTAATGATGCATTAATAATATAGCACTGAATACTTTAATAAAAAGTGATTTTAAGTGTTATTTTTATTAATACAATTGATGGTTAATTCTGTTTTAATGTTTGTATATTTTTGGATTTTAAATTGTGTTGAAATGCTTTTCATGTAAGCCTCTGAGTCCTTTGTGTAGAGAAAAAGTGAGGTATAAATAAACAAAAACATAATAACAGCAACAACCAACATGGTCAATCTTAGGACAGGTTGAGGTTCATAACGGTACAGGTAATTCTTCAAATAGCTTGCCCCCTAAACTGATTCAGGCTTTAAAGCAGTGGTTTTTCACCTGTGGGCTGCAGAACACCAGTGGGCTGGGAGGATGAAAATCTGCTTCACGAGTCTCCATCCTCTATTTGTTTTATTTCCATTTCTTTCATGCCACCTGCCACTCCTCGTTGCTGACCATGGCATATATTGTGATCAGAAACTAGAGTTGATATGATCTATCCAATGCAATTTTCTGAAATAGCACTGCAAACCGAATCTAGAGTTGACCAATTTTTTTTCATAACCCTTTTGGTACTACTGTTGGAGAGTGGTCCCTGGTCAAGTTGACCCCTGGTCAAGTAGTCCCTGGTCAAATAGTTCCTGGTCAAAGTAGTCCCTGGACAAAGTGGTCCCTGGTCAAAAAAAGGTTGGGAACCAGTGCTTTAATGCTTAAGATTAGTTCTTGAAATTAGTCCCTAAACAAGACAGGAATATAAGCAGTGTAACTGTCTTCACCAGCTGGGCCTAACAAGCACCCAAGAGGCTATACTTTGTGCCAGTTGAAAATTTCCAAGTTGTCATCAGAGCCAACTAAGTGGAGCACATTCCATAGTTGGTATAGAAAGCAACTGAATAGTATCCCCCCCCCCCCAAAGGAATATGTTTTAAGGCTTGTTTGTCATCTATAGAATAGAATGATAGAGTGACAATGGAACTGTTTAAAAAGTTGCAAATATGCTTCTCTTGTTGAATAGGTCTTTTTGGACTACAATGGAAGAATGAACTTATGGATATTTAGGTTACTCTGAGCTTAAATTTTGGAAATTTGCTCCATACTTTCAAAGTGTCCCAATTAATCCCTATCACCCCACTTTTTGAGCTTTTGGAAAGTCTCTCATGCTTCCTTTTGTTTCTCCATTACCCCTTTTTCATCATCTTATTTCAATCACTGTAAACCTAAAAGTGCAAAAGTACTTCACACTCAACAGAAGAGGAATGGATGGAACAGACTTAACAAAAGCAAACCATTTCACCCTCTCCTAGCTTATGTGCTCTTCTTATTTTTGGCATTTTATCCCACTTTGATGTTGGTCACAGGTGTCCCACTTTTCATCTGTGAAATGTAGGGCATGTGGTTCACAATACAGCAGGGATTAGGGACAACCTAAGCAACATTCTACTGAGTCAGACAATGGGTCCATCTAGCTAGCACAATATGGTCAACAATAGGTGGGCACAGCTCCCAGGATTTCAGATGGAATTTCTTCTTTACCTTGCTTGAAGATCACTGATATTCCCGGACTCGCTTATCATCAACCCAGCTTAGCTTTCCAGTTCTGGTAAAACTGGTTTTGTTCAGGGTGGAATCATGACATGATTAGATCTTTTGATTGTGGAATTGAAAGGAGAGGAACTTTTCTGTTGGAGATAAGAGGTTCTTATCTTTTGATGCAGATGCATGACTGGGTAGATTTATGGTGATAGATAGGTAGGTATTCCAGAGTTTGGTAGTTTAAACTGTAGACTTCTAGACACAGCTCTTTAAAAAAATTATTATTTATCTGGGTCTTCTACACACCTGGCCCTGTTATTAAGCAGAGAGGGAGCAGTTGCTTCAGGTAACAGGTGCTTGAAAGTGATGGCTGCTGAGTGAGAAAGAGCTAAGTGTACTTCTTAGCTCTTGATCTGAACTCCCTTTCTCTAAGGAACCCTGTGCACTAGGCCCATTTCTGTGAGGAATCTGGTCCACAAATCAACTTCCTCTTTATTTATTTATTTATTTTCATTATTTTATTTCCACTCCTTTCCACAGAGCTGACCCTTTTGGTACTAATGTTGGAGAGTTGTCCCTGGTCAAAAAAAGGTTGGGAACCAGATTTTTAAAAATTGGAACAGACCTAGCAAAATTTATATGGCTAGGGAAAAATACTAGAATAAAATTGGTAAACTTAACAGACGAGAAAAGAAGAGGCGGGTTCAGTATTCCAGACCTGACACTACAATACAAAGCATGTGAGTTTAAATAATTTAAATAATGTTAAAAATTTAACATTAGAAGGCTTCAACCTGAGAAGTGAATGGCATTCGTATATGAGGAAAATAGAAAAAAAGTAACCACTTCATAAAGTTGGCTTTAATAACAATACAAAAACATTTTTTTACCAGAAAACTCCATTATGGGTTTCACCCTTAGAAGCTATATAAAGGAGAGAACTAGGTTGTGAGAAATGGCCAACTTACATAGAAATACCAAAATAAATAAATTAAAAAACCCACCAAAATGGAACATACTTAAAAAACCCAAGAAGAAATCATTATATAAGAGTGTCTCCCGGTTTCAGTTCAGACAATTGAAAGATTATAACAAGGACAAAGAAATGGGATTTGTGGACAAAGAATCTATATGGGACAAAATAATTATAATTGATAAAGCAATTACTAATATATATATATAATTCTTTTGAAACGGGCAACAGAAATGGAACAAGTGAAAGATTGTATGACCAAATGGGCCGCTAATATTGGACATTCCATAAAATTGGAAGAATGGGAAAGAATTTGGAAACACAAACTAAAGTATACTTATGCATACAATTTGAAAAAAAAACTGGTACAAAATGATGTACTAGGGGTACATTACCCCCCCCCCCAAAGTTAGAAAAATGTTATAAAAATACACAAGATAAATGTTGGAAATGCAAAATGCATGTGGGCACTTTTTACCACATATGGTGGTCCTG